CTTAGTCGGGGTCAAGCTCGATACCGAACGATAAGGAGAAGTACCGATAATCTCGACCGCCAAGAAATAAAAACGATGGTTTACGTCGTTCGAAATTTTTGATCAAGTGGCTTCCTGGTAAATGGCTATCTCTTCAGATACACTTTGAAACTTTAAAATTAAAAATGTAAGAAGCTGAGAGATTTCAAATTGAACCCTACAAGCAAAATGATTCCAAGTAATTTTTATCTATCGCCGTTTTATTCGCTATCGAGTATTTATCAGCAGGTCAATATCAGCAACCTATCCCAATTTTTCATCCAGAATTCAAACATTTCCAGAACGGTTCAAGGTGGCAATTAAGCTGATTAATCAGCAAATTAAACGGCAATTAATCCAGAGTAGCTGACCATCGACCTTCTTTTTTCTGTTTAAGACGTTCGCTTCTGAAGTGTCAGTAACCGTCCACGTTTTCATTGATCTCGTGTTAATAGAACATAACGCGATCAAAAACAAGTGATTACTTTTGTATAGCACATATAGTTACGTTACCTATGTATTACCGATGACGCGGAACGACTTAAACAGCCACGGTCCAATTAATCGCGATTTACGAACGGGATGTGCCAACAGTTGCACGCCTCGCTAAACATACTTAATGTCCGGATTATGGCGTTATAATAAGTGTTTTATTATTGGCTTCGCGAGGACTGTTTGTCAATGACGAGAAACGTGCGTCACCAAAGCTGCCACCCAAATAATCCCCCGCGTTTCGAACAATTTTTTTTCTGAATCTTCTAAAATTGTTCCCTTAATTAGTTATTTATTGTCAAATAATAATTTTTTTGTCGATAAAGTTTCTGATATTTTATCACCATAATGGTAGAAAATTCAGTGAAGTAACAAAATCGAAAATGTCGCATTATCGATCGTCACTGCGGAAGTTTTCAGTAGTATGAGTCCCGTATGTAATCAGACTTCGACTTATCCGAGTCACTGATTCGATGCAAATCTTGACCCTTACATTTCTTCGATTTCGATGTTGAACCCTCTGAAGCAAAATTGTAGGAATTACAAAGAACTGTATGGAAAGTAGTAGCTCGGCAATAATAATCACCAATGAATCAGAAGTGTCGATATACCTGAAAACCTCGCTGGACGATCAGACGAACGATAATGATAAGGAATCTGTCCGAATAGGTTGTTTGTAGAAGCAGCTTTCTAAATGCTACTTTCGTGAATCACTCGATCTCGATTCCCTTTTCTCCAATCGATCAAACATCGACTCGTCGACCTAGCAAACAAACCTGGCGCCTGATAATACAACTCGGTATTATTCCTCCGAGGACTTTCTTCAAATTATGCTTTGACTCTCTTACTTTTTTGTTTAACAACACTCTTATCATTTGATAACGTATTATATTATTATTGTATAATTCAAATTTCGTTACGATTATAAATAAAGAATATGTTACAGTTTACGAGTGGATCACGTGGATTATCTGGAGATGTGTATTTCTGTTTCACATTCTACCTAATCCCATTTTGTAATTTAATCTTCTCCGGATACATTGAACAAATAATATGACATTTATTATGCGATTTAATTCATGGTGTTGAACGATGTTCTAGACTAGACGTTCTAATATTTTCTTTTTCCAACTATTTAGTGTCCGTCTGTCCGTCGGATTAAAATCTATGGGAGGTGATGCGAGAACTAACGATCGAGTTTCGTTTCTCGACTCGACCCAGATCGGATCGTATCGGATTTGTGGTTATTCTGATACTCTTTGCGGAGAAGAATCGAACGCGAGAAACTGGAGTTCGATCGCCTTTGCCCGACAAAAATACGCGAAACCAGCTAAGCTACGTTTTCGTTCGGAATCGAACGGACCTGTTGTCGTAATTGTATCCGATTCTATATCTGCGATCTTTCAGATTAAATTTACGTATGGTTTTCTACGCGTTTCTCCGTTATCACTGTATCTCCATATCTATTGTACGACAGTCGATCGGAACCTCCGATCTATATCGGTTTGCTTATTGTCCATATTAATATAGCAACAGATTGATTATCGTGGATTATACGTATCTCGATGACGCACGAATTTGCACAAGAATCTATAAAAACGATTGTATTTACCTAATCGTAGATAACTTGACCGAGTACTTGAAACAGATCTAACAATAACAAATACGAAGCGCATTTTTATGTCGAGCTAATTCTTTACTCCAACTCTGATTAATTGAAGTTCATTTACAATTTTTTTGTGTCTTTAAGTAGATTAACATGTATCAGAAATTTTGTATTGATCGGTTGCGACGTAGATCGTGTTCAATAACGATGATAAATTAGTCATGAACACGGGAGCAACGGTTTATCGAACACCAACGTTCGAACGAATTTTTCAAGACTTTTCCATTCATCTAGTGACGTTTAGTCTCCGCGACAATCTTTCGACCGATTAGATAAAGACAAAGCTGCTCGGGGATTATCGCAACGACGCATCGTCGATGATAAGCTTTCCTGTACGATCGTAGCTACCAGTGAAAGCCAAACACCGATGATTCGCTGAATTTCATCGACCACATCGCAGGTAGAAATGTTGCTACTATTCCCGAACCGTGCTAATTCAGAATTATGTCAAGATTCAATCAGAATCTGCTAATAAGCAATTAACGTAAATTTCAAAATTAAATTTCCATTAATCAGTTTCTAATTTGATCTTGTTTGAAATTTATATTTCGATCAAATTCATTTTATGTAAATGCTTTTAAATCCATCGCAATGTTTTTTCGATAAGCAAATAATCAGTGACCCTACCTATAATCAAGACGAATGGTTTCATTCAATAGAACCTCGCTTTAATAGCGTTGCGTTCAAAGGCAATAATTTCCTTAATGATAGATCGTAAAATAATCCACTAGCAGGAAACTCATACCCCATACTTTTCCGTAACTTAGAATGTACCATCGAAGAAAGCGCTCGCTGATCTTGTAATACTTATCATTTTCAATAATTCATACCTGCAACATGCAGACAAAAAGCTGTAATAAGAATACGAAAATGCATTTCTGGTGAACCGCATATATCCGTGAAATAAATATCAATTTGTTAAAGTATTATCGCTTAACTAGTGGATTAAAACATTATTGTAGTCTATAATTCCAACAATACAAAAGAGTATAATTTAAGAAAAGGGATTAATGGGTCTAGTCGATGAGTTCGACGCGCGTTCTCAGGCAAAAGGTGAAATGTTACGTTTCACCAGGGAAATGACCGCACATTGCCGCATCGCGGCTGTTTCCGCTCAATATCACAAGTGCAAAGCGTTTTTTATGCTCGTGATTCAGCCCACCGTGCAGTTGGCCTTTGTCCAACTTTCTGTTATTTATTTTCATGGTGATTTTTACCATTGCGAAGAAAAATCGTCCATCAGCCAGAACAATTTCCTGTGATTGTTCGAGCTAATTGCGTCGACATTAAACTCACAACCGAATGCTTTCTTTTAATCGTTTTTACGATCTTTTGAATTTTCCTCCCACGAAGATTAATCGAACTATCGATCTGTTTCGAGAAAAATCACGTGACTTTTATGTTCTTTCTTCTGCATTGCGCATGCGTCGAATATTCAAACTTTTCGCATGATCGAATTCGGAACATTCTTCTTCTTCATGCATATATTAGATTAAGCTTTTGTACTCGTTTATAATGTCATGGTACACAAGTGTAATGTTGTCGTATGCATACGTAAATTGTAGTCCATCGAAAAATCGTTATGATGATTGTTAAATGAAATCGGTTAGTGATCAATGACTGATGAAACGAGTATAAATCTCCTTCTTCTTTGGAACTTAGTAACCTTCAAATTAAGAAATTTATAAAGGGTTGAAAACTTTAAAATTTGTCCTAAAAACTTTCAAATGTTCGAAACCACAAATACAGCGAATAGAGTGAAGGGGTTGGAACATCATAATCAAGTAAACACCCCAGTGTCTCCCCATGCTGTAATAAATAAACTATCGTGTCATTTTACGCGCCGCCCGTATTTTCGCGATGTACGTTAGAATACTATCCACTTCCGTCGCAAATCCACCAATGCTCAGGGCCCACAGGTTCGAGTAGTCTGCTAATTTCAAAAGCAGCGCGCGAAACATCGCATGCACCGAGTCGCGTGCTTTTTCGCCGAATAATAACAAACGAACAAGCGAATTTTTACTCACCATTTGATTCCGACAGTGATTCTTCTTGCTTCCACGGTACCGTTGAAGTTGAAAGGTCTCGTATTCTTGCTTTTTCTTAAATGTGGAACGAGGACGTCTCAAGACCGCTATCACCACAGATGGGCCCATCCGGCCATCTTGCCGTATACCAAAACGTGTACTACACTGCGCTGGCGTATTTTGCTACTCACCCCCTCTTTCTCTCTCTTTCTCTCTTGCTCTATCTCGTCTGCTCCGATAATTGCGTAACTGCCCGCGACACTTTCAGACGGTTTGTCTTTGTCTCGATGCTCTGGTTCCGTATTTTTCCATCTTCGTCTGACACGGTCGTCTTCGGATCGTGAGCGGCGCTACGAACGCTTGGTAAATTTTGAAAGACGAGTCGTGAAGTGAGACTGATTCGAAAACAGTTCGTCAACTTGTGAACATATGAAAAAAGTGGAGTCGTTTTTGTCAGTGTTTTTATAATTTTTTTTACATAGTATAATCTATAACAAGTTGTCTTCGTTTGTTGTTATGCATGAAATTTGTTTCAAATTTGGAATATATACTGAGTTTGTTTTAAACTCTGATTTAGAGAATTGAAGTAGTTTAATTTTTGTTCGTGGTTTTGTTTTTTTTCTATCAGAGTTGTGAAACAATCGTCGGTCAGTGACTTTCGAATGTTGATACGGAGATCAGCCATTGGCGCCACCGGACAGACCGACCTAACTTTAACTAAGGAAAACCCGCGACTATGAACGTAAGCAGCTTCGCTGTATGCTTCTGTTTTAAATAGATTAGAATACAGATTTAAAGATTGTATAAAATACTTTATTCGATACTGACAGCATTGTCAAAAAGGCAATATTTCAATAATACGTTATTTACATAAATGTACTCAAGATGTATATACATTCAATAATATTTACAATTCGTGTGATTCAATAAATAAGTTAACTACTGCTAAACCAATCGGAGCCCATTGCTCCAAAAAATGCTGCTGCTCCAGACTTAATGGATGATCCGGTCGAATCGCTCTTTGTATTTTCCTTATTCGGCATCTTTTTGCGCTATACAAGACCAAAAAACATTAATTAATATCTCATTCATATAGAAAGTTTAGGATCAACCTCACAATTAGATTATCATCTTGCACGCATCAAAGCATGTATCACGTAAAAAAATCAAACTAATTTAATGTTAGAAATTAGTTGACAAAGAAAACACAACACTCAGTATCGTTTTCTTACCACAATTAAATGCACGATCTATCTTAACTGAATGCTCTGGTAATCTAACAGCATACATTTATATATAAAATATTTAAATGAAGTATCAAAAGATAAAACTTTAAAAATTTCAAATATTATATTTACCTGTGTCTTCTCCGGTAAAGTTACTGCCACAAGAGGCAAATTTCTAGTTGGAGCTGTTACGGTCAGCGGTGGGAACCAGGGTGCACCTGTACATAGAGCCAGTACTGAAGGCAAGTCTGATTTCACACCTTCGGCGTTATTGTACTCGCTTCGAGAACCCAAAATTGAATGAAGCTGTTCCAAATGGGGTACTAAATTTCCCAGTATAAGCTGAAATACATAGTTAAAACATATATTCTGTCCTCTCGAGTAGTAAAATCTTTGACAATTGTATGAATACTCACTAGAGATCTCTGAACACTTTTCTTTACATTGGTGTAAATAAAAGGATTAAAAACATCATAATCGAATGGATCTATTTTTGCCACTACACTATCATAAGATTTTGTTGACAAGTCAGAAAGTGTTTTATGGTCACGCGGCACCATGAGTAAAGTGGAATACTTTATATCGAATAACACTTGAAGTGCTTGTTTTTGTGAGAGATTAGTGTTCTGTGATGTAGTTGCAAAATAATTTAATAATTCCATCGCTGTATCTTCTATGATTTCATGTAAAATTCTCCTATAAATGAAAACCAAAATTAAAAGATTGAAACAACTGCATTTACATAGAATTAAAAAATCTTCTGTTTACTTTGGAAGAGTGTGTGGTATTATTTTGTTCAAATCCTTACTAATAGCGGTTAAAAATTTTTGTAATTGTATGGACGGCTGATAAGGTACTAAAATTTCTGACTTTATCCTTTTACCCTCTCCAGAATCTTCTTCGATGGTTATCTTTTCCCATTCAGAAATGACTAAGTGAATTGGAAAACCACCAAGAGGCTCTTTGGATATAAACTTCTCTCTGTGTTCACTTATTTTACTCTTGTACATTCTAGCCCAAATTGACCACATAGAAGTACTCTCTTCCTTTAATTTATCGCAAACTGATTGCCACTTGACATTTGTAATAGTTAATCCCGATACCTTCGAAAGCGTGAAACATTTATTTAAATTGGAACATAATAATGTCAATGCCAAGAGAAACCTTGCCATCACAATAGCATTTATGTCGCGTTGACCATGTTCGGGTTTATCGTTCACGCACGTACTTCTCACAAAATTCACAAACTCCTCTATCATGTTACTGCTAACAGTTTGTAAATGTTCCTGAATCTCTGTGCGATCAGAAAACGTATCAGAAATTAAATAGATATTTGTAGATAGTAGATTGTTCTTAATGGACATTACACGTTCGGTCTCGTATAAATATTGTTCCAAATCTGAAAGCAAAGCTTGCAAACTTGTATCAAAGCTTTCACACAGTTTAAGGATGTTTGGTGAATATCCTTTAGTCTTCATTAGTAACGATCTCTTATTATCCAGTCCACCATTTTTGGTAAGTTTTTGTGGAATATCACTGGGAGAATCTTTCCAAACGAACCATCGTAAATCGTGTTCCGGGTATTCAAACTTATCGTGAATTACTTTGCTAAGTAACTCGACTACGTCGGACTTTAATACGCTTGTACTTTCTATCCATTTATCGTTTATAATACCTGATCAAATATTAAAATCATTATTATTCATTGTAATCCACAATTAGTGGTCTTTCGTGCTGTTACGTACTTTTTACTCTGTGAGATATTAGAGGTTGAAAAAATTCCACCCAGAATGTTATTCTTGGAAGAGAAAGGTCTTCCCATATAGCATTCCAATTTTCGGGTAAATTAATACTAACTGCCTCCTCCCGAACATAGTACAAGCCTTTTATTGATACTACTAGATTCAGAAGGTTTATAACTTCATTGTTGCAAAATTTACTGACCCATTCGAGCCAGGATTTAATACTTTTTTGAAGATCCGGTAAAGAAAAATTTTCTGGAGTTTCTATAGCAAACGGTTTATGTTGTTTTATAACTGGAGGAAGAAATTCTTTTAATAATTCTTGATCTAAATTTAATTGAGAAAGTAATGAATACGTTTCTTGATCTTGAACTTTTTTTATGTATTGCAAAACAAGACCTCCTGATTTTTCAGCTGTATCTGTAAGAAATATCTTAGTACTACATTTGGATACAACATATTTTATATACTTAATAAGTCCAGGTGTGATTACTTACTTATGAAACAAGAATATACTAAATCAATGGTTTGGATTAATATTTCAATGCAAAGTTTTATCTTGCTTTTAACGCTGTTATCATTTTCATCTGTAACTATGGACTGGATTGTATGATTACGCATTGATATTAATTTCTCCAACAACTCTGAGAATGTTGATCCATTTAATAAGACAAGTGCTGCTAAAGAATTAGCTATGCTCTGAAATAACAATCATATACAAGAAAATGTAGCATACAATACAGGTCCAAACATATACTAACCTCTGGTTGTACAATCAATGACTGTAATACTTTATTGCATTCATTAAGTATATAATTTTTAAACTGACTAATTACATCCCATTGTTTGGATACAATTGGATACTTATTTGATAAATCTGTACTTCCCACTTCAAATAATAAACTATAATTTATATGCTGTGCTACTAAATATAACTGTGCAGCAAACAACAAATTTTTGTTCTCAATACTGGACCAAATATATTGAGGTATGTCCATTAAAATTTTGATTTGAATAATAACCGAATCCTGAACTTCATTGTATCTAAAATAAATATTTTATGAAATTATATGTAACGTATCTTATACCAAACAATGATTATTACAAATACCTGTCATCTGTATTCTCAATACGGTCTAGTTTGAAACCAATCAGATACTTTTTCTGCAATTCTCCAAATTTGTTTTCGATATTAATAATTCTTGAAAGAACACGTTCTGAAGTTAATTTCATTTTCCCAATTGTATCTGCAGCCAATATAAGATCACGGTATCTTTCTCTGAAAATATTTGAATTGTTACATTTGATGATAAAAATAATAAACTAGTCCAAGTTAATGAAACAAACTTTACCCTACTAAAGTTCTAAGTTCGATTTTTTTCCTGTCACTTTCATACTGAATCTTTTTTTGAATACCCTCGATCTCTTTTATCGTGTGCTCCTCAAACAATTTATTGATATCCAAATCTAAATAATTCGTTGTTGTCATTCTTCTGACAATTCGTCTTCACGTATCACGAGTCCGGTTATTCCCACGTAGCACAAAATCGACGCATGTATTTACCACACATTCTTACCTACAAGATACCATAATATGTTGGAGACCATCCATTACAAGATGGCACTACAAGCACTTTCTGAATCTCTACAACTCAATTTCTGCCTACTTTATTTCTTCTTGGAGAGATGGAACCACTTGTACTGTTTAAAAATAGGGCTTTCAGCCAGTGCGCGCGAATGTGTAAATGCTAAAATACATGTAAGAACAAGTCTTTCAAAATCCTCTCATCTTAGTAGTTAAATTAATTTACGATAAACTATTGCTTTTGATATTTTTTTAATATATCGAATAGTCCTGATGCTTTTGTAAACTTCAATGTCAAATTGAATAATTAATAACTTATACTTACACTTTGATGTAATCCCCGAAATCGTCTGGCTGATGTGTCGAATGTAGAATGAAACAATTGGGAGTTAGAGATGTAATATGAACTTACAGCAATTTTATTATTTATCGAGTTCGAAAATTCCTTTTGTAGATTAGGCATAAAGTGTATCTATTCGCGAATACGATTACTGGTAGTAAGGACTTGTTCCCTTTGGCTGCCATTTTCCCCAGGGAAGCCAGATTTGCACTTGAATGTGCTCATTAGAATCTGAGACTTCGAGTACTCGAATACCCAATTAGTAAGAGGTTCAGAAGGGACACTAAAACACGTTCGTTTATAATAAAAAAAGTAATTGTTCTGACGCACCTATCTAAATTTGCTTTCGTACTTGAAGTCTCAATAATATTTCTGATTACTTCTATTTGGAGTTACAAGAAAACGTTTATTTTTGTTGTAGCGTTTAATAAAAAACTGGTAGTGATCCTCAACGCGTTGCGATGGTCCCTAAACACGCAATCGCCGAAACGCGTCACCTAACGACGCGACGTTGAACCACAGGATGGACACGCGAGACGCCATATTGAGCGGTTTAGGTGTTTACGTGGTTCCGAATAAAACTCGTGGAAAAAGTTGATCGATCGTCGTACAATTTGCTCGAGGTATCACTGGACGATTGAATTGGTGCAGCGGCAATTCCGCGCGGTGATAGAATGAGCGGCAGCGACAACGAGGACGGTCAATGCAACAGGAGTAGAGAAAGCAACACAGTAATGATGGGTGACGTTCTCACTAAGAAACACACAGATAATGCTCCTTGCAACGGCTGCATCAACGCAGACAGCGATTTAACGCGACAAAACAACGACCGGGTTTTTGATTACACGGAGGACGTTGTCAGGTCTCCTGTTGTCGCAGACTCCGTTCCTGTCGCGGTATGTTTCTCACTTACGAACAGCGTTCGCGTTTACCTCGTCACGATCGTATCTCGAACACGTTCTACTTGCAGAGCGTGACACTAGACGAAAACGCGGTTGATGAGTTTATCAAAGGTGCGAGGAGTCCCGAGAGCATCAAGCAAACCGCGTTGAGAATGAATTCGGATGTTGTCGATGAGAATTCGAGCGGCAACACGAGTATTGATAATCCCTCTAGGGGAAAGGAATCGTGTTCCTGTGATACGTATAAAGCAAAGAGGTAATTGTTGTTTGTCAGTGAGGTTTAATTGATGAAAAGTATTAATGTTAATGGTTGTTGGTACAGAGAGTTGTTTAAAGCGGAGCTACAGAAGGCCATGAAATTTAAGAATTTATGGAGGGAGATACAGCAACATATAAGGGGTTGTTTCAATGTTGCTTTGGAAACATCTCGTATTCCGGGAGGTTTACAATTTCATCATAATGTATTTTCTTATGCAATGGACGACGTGCATGAAATTGTTTTACAGTAAGTTTTGATGGATGATTTATATAAATTTGAAGAGTTGAGATTTAAACATAGCATTCCTTTTCAGACTGTGTAAAAGAGACCCTCATCAGTTGTTTATGAGGCTAGTGAATTTGACACAAGGATTTGTTATAGAAGTAAAAGTTCGATTATTAGCTCTCCTACATGATCGTAGTGTAAATAATTTAGCAGAAATTTTTCTTACAGGTTAATATGAAATGTTCTTTAAATCAAAATGTTTGTTGTTATTAGTTAATTTAAGCACTGGTTTCTTATGTTTTTCATATAGGTCTTTTAGATGATTATGATGCGTTGATATCAACAGCATCAAAGATTACAGAATTTGTAAAACCTTTGACAGATCATCTGTGTAAATTTAATTTATCTTGGGAATGTTTTATTAAGAAGTTGTATCAAATCTATGTATATGATGATCCGTTGGTGCAAAATAATTTGCCATCTTTTATTGAACAGTTAAAAAAACTTGTGCCTTTAAAAGGCTTAGAGTATCGAGGTCTAGTTTTTCGATATTTACCATTCTATGATGAAATGGCACTAATAGCGGATCTGTGGTTAGAGACTGAGTCATGGATGGACATGTATAAGTAAGTAGGCAACATATATTAGATTTCACACAATACGAGTGTGAGTTGCAACTCTTATTGCAATAAAGAATATGAACAAAATTTTATGAGCAATGTATATTTTAGTGCAGAACAAACAGTTCGGATGACAAGGCTTAAACAAATAAGGGAAGCTTGGGAATTATTTACGGCGACGAGGAAGGTCATGGAGCAACGAGTGACGAATGTTGAAAAGTATATTGATATTAAGAAAAAATGTAGTACTGTTATATATTCATAGATCAACATTCTGACATGAAATCCTATTTCAGTGAATTACAAGAAAATGACAGGCAACTTTCAACAGTTGTACCGCAAACTAAAGCTGCTGTATCGGAAACTGATAGTAGGCCTCTTAGTCCAGTTCCGGATTTTAATTTAGAGTTACTTAGTATGCTTCCAAATATCGAGGTAGTTCAAATTTTATTGGATGATTGGAACAAAACTCAGCCTCAAAAATTAGCCGATATAGCAGGTGTATTGACTAGCGCGGACGTTTATACCAATGGACAAGATAACAATGATTATACTCGTACATGGTGTTATTTAGCTCCGTTTAGATCAATCAGGTACTTGTTGTTATACTATACCGTTATTATTCATTCTTCTCGTTAATTTACATGTATTTCTAAAAGGGTGCATAACGAAGACGCGTGTACGGAGAATGGTGTAGAGGAGGGAAGAAACTGCGAATGTCACGTGTGTACAGGACTTTCGTCATTTCTAATTGTAAGAAAAATTCTATCTTTTTCTCGGACATTTTTCATATGCTTCATCGATACAGTGTCACAGATTTTATTAAGCTAAGTAATATTTATTGCCAGGTTAATAAAAATGACGCGGAAAACTTAGTATTACCGTTAGAAAATTCTTTTCCACAGTTCACAATTGATTTTTTAGGTAAGAGAATCATCACAATGAAAAATTAAACGACCAGTGGTATTGCATGCAGTGGTTGATTTTTGAAAATTTGATTTTAGAAGACCCAGCGAATTATTCTGTCACACAAGTGAAGAAAAAAGTGGAAGATATAGAAACGAAAGAAATACAAAGCGAAGAGAAAGAATTAAGTATAAGAGAAGATGTCGATTTTAGAGCATTCGACCCTCAACCTTGTTCGTGCGTGTATCAGCACGCGAGGGAAATAACAGAGAGGAAGCCGGTGCTAGAAAATCCTCCTTGTCCGTGTTTATTAAATTTTAAAAGGAAATGTGACACCTGTCCTTGTTTAACGAAAACTAATGGTAAAGAAATTTTATTTTTGATCGTTAAATGAACTTTGCAGTTGCATTAATCTTTAATATCATTAGCTGTGTCTGAAGTTGTCGTACCAAACGGTCATCCAAAGCCAGTATCGCCTCCTACTGTGAAGGCTAATCAAGAACCAAATAAACCTGCCGTGAAAACAGGTTCTACACAGTCTGCTCAAACACAAACGAGGCATTCTACAACGCAGACGCCGAATACCAGTCATAATCACACAACGCATCAAGGTAAATATCGCCGTTATAGAGTGTTAAGCGTCTTTTCAAAATGTATTCATTATAAGTAATTGGTACTTAAAAAATAATGAATACATTGTCTTTTTGGGGGAATTAAGCAGGTGCCACTCATTCACATACGCATGGACCCTTGCCAGACCTGGTAAAAAATACAGGACCCACTCACAGACCTCATGCACAGAATAGTCATCCGTCGTGCGCTTGTCGCAAACAAGCTAATGTTGAACACATAAAGAGAGTGTCCTGTAACGATCGTCAGTATTTATTGAACTGTTTCTAATAGTGGTAACTGTACATGTATCATAATAAATATTTCATTTTTGCAGTAAGTTCTGGTGATGGAGATTGTTCGGATTCAGGAAGTAGTCAAGAAGACTCTTGTTCTACTAGTAGTTCTGCACAAAGAGATTCGAGTAGGCATTGCGATTGTTGTTACTGTGAAGTTTTTGGACATGGGGTTGTAAGTGAATTTTGTCCGATTCAATTTTTTTGAAAAAAAAAAAAGAAAGATCATTATTTTAACGAAGCACTATCTTTCAGCCCTCTGTAGCACCAGTTAGCCGAAATTATAACGAAATGAGGGAACGATTACGGCAATTACTGACCAAGAAGAAAGCTAAGAAATGCAAGGCTACGTGTAGTCCGTCGAAGAGCCCTTCGGAACCGTTATCAACCACCACGAATACGGAAACGAAGATAGTATCGAACACGGCACCTAGATCGAATACTCCAGTGGCGACTGTTCCTCCGATGCAGCCGGATCAACGAGATCAGAGGGATTTGGAGGAGCTGCTCGAGTTCATTGAGGGAAACCAGAATGGAAAGAAAGATAACAATAAAAAAGCTGAGAAAAAGGCCAGACAAAAACAGAGGAAGGTAAGTTATTTAAAATAAAATAAACATTGTCGTATGATTTGGTGCTATCTTTAATTCGGTTTGTTGTTTGTTACAGCTCGAGGAGAAGCTGAAGAGGGACAGACAAGAAGCAGAGAGACAAAAATTGATAGAGTTACAGAAAAAAACACCGGAAGTAACGATTACTGTTGTAGATCCGCAGAAACCCGTTCCTCAAAGATTATTACCTCAGTGTAATCTACCCGAAGTATCTATTTTACCTACATCACCGCCAATAACGTTGCCGATCGTAAAGCAATTAAGTAATAAAAAGAAAGACAAACAAGAAGTTTGTAGCAATAGTAGTAATATCAGTAGCAGTAGCTGTAGCAGCAGCAGCAGTAGTAGTAGTAGTAGTAGTAACAGTAGTATAAATAGCAAAACGAAGACTGCACCTGTGAATACAAATACAAAGAACAAAAGTATTATTGCTAATAAAGTTGACAAGACTATGGTTCACGGTCAAACGAATAAGACGACGACGAAAAATGATAAAATGGAAGTTAGTAGTAAAAATAACAAAACACAGATGAATAACAATGGCATAAACGTTAAAAATAATGCAAATAATGTCACGGAGAAGTCTTTAACTGTTGACTCGAACGATAAGAAATTAACGAAGAAAGAGAGAAAAAAGTTGAAGAAAGAGATGAAGAAGATGGAGGAGGCAAAAACAAAGGAAATAAAGAAACCGGTTCAGACGGAGAGTCAACCACAGATCGTGACAATTAAAAGGGTTATGGAATCAAATAGTGCTGAACCTACAGTAACAATTACCTTAAAGGGTCAAACACCAGCGGAAGATAAAGTTTTGTTCACGTTGGTAAACGGTCAGACTAAGGAGGTTGCTTCCCTGAAACTGGATAACGAGCAGAACCAGAACATCAGCGGCAAGAAGAAAAAAGCTAAATCAAATAATAACAACAATAATAATAACACCAACAACAATAACAATATTCATTCACTGCAATCTGGAAACAAGCAACAACAAATTAATAATTCTAAACAACAGGTACAAAACAAGATCTGTGATACCAAAAACATAAAACAGTCGAACAAAGGGAAACAGTTAGACGAGAAGAAAGTTCAGCAGCAGAATATAACCGAAATTAAAACGAAATCCAAGAAAGATAAGAAAAATACTGAGAATAAGGAGAATGTGCTTCAACAGAACGCAGTGAACAAGAACAAAAGTCAACAGCAGAATGTTCCGAATAAGAAACAGAATAAGATGAACACTCCACCTCAAACACCGGCGTCTCAGAAGTCTTCGCAAAACTTGACTATCACAAATGATAATAATAAAAAGTCAAAGGTTCAGCAGCAGGAGAAAAACAATCTGGTGAATAAGAATAATAAGAATGTAAGCTCCAATGTCACGGTTAAACAAACAAAGAATGATAATCAAAAAGTTCAGAATAAGGTTTCAAATCAGACGACGACGGTAAAACAGCGATCGGAGATTCAATCCATACCCCAAGAACGTGTTAATTCACCGTTGAGTAATCAGTTCAAAGATATCGGCGCCAATTCTAAGATCAATATAGAGAATTTAAAACTACCACCTGGCATTACCATAACGAAGGTCGATGCTCCTGCGAAGCCTTTGCCAATCAGATCGGCACCTTTGCCCAAACCAGTGAATCCTCCTAAACAAACTACGATAATCGCTGCACCGATGAGCGGTGTTCAGTCCAGTTACGCGAGTCCTCAAGCGGGTGGAAATGTGATCGTAGTGGACACGGGAAAATTGAAGCAGGATCTTCTGCCCAAGTCCGCAGAAAAAGGTGAGCAGCTTTTCAAATTATAATTCACGAATTTTCAGATACTCGCAAAGTTTTAAATCTTTGAATTACCAAATATATTGTATTCCATTGCAGACGTGCTTAAAGAAACACAACAAAGCCAAAGCAGTAGTAGTAAGAAAAAGAAGAAGAAGAACAAGAACGCGACCAACTCTGGTAACACGAATCAAACCACAGTACAAAGTGACCCCTTTACGAATGACCACCCGGACGAACCAGCCAGAATACTTCATAACCCAAACACGAACATGGTAACCATAAGGAACCCTGCGTTCGGTCCAATGAAGGTACCACCCACGCAACAGGCAGCCATCATAAAGGTGTCAGAGAATGGTATGGTCACCATACGAAGTCCAGCATTGCAACAGGCGATCAATGCTGGCCTCACGTCGCCGCCAAAGCCGGACTATATCGTGAAGGGTGATCTATCTAAAACGACGACGGATAACTCGAACTTGAAGCACCCTAACGGTATCATTCCTTCGAGTTTGGCGGAACTGCGAAGCAGGCTGACGCCAGATTGCACGGCGCTGAGTGGTCTCGCTAACATTCAGATCAGTAAAGTAACGAATGGTCAACCGATTCCGGAGAACGGGATCAACCTAAAGGGGACCAGCGTGACCCTGACCAAAGTGAGGACGGACACCAGCATGGAAGATGTTCAGAACGCTAAGACTGCTGTCAGGGAAGCGATAAACGCGTCAATTGCAGTGTCGAGTAGCGAAAAGAGCAAGAAAAAGAAGAAACGTGGAACTGGCACGAGACAGTGCGGGGATGACTGGAACCTCGTTGGTGAGAAACAACAATAATTAGAGTTTAACATGTAAATTTGCTTCTTTCACTTTTTTTGTTCTCCTTAACACATCCCGGTGTTGAGATAGTTAATTTTTTCTTAAGTTTGAATAGAGTATACCGTGTACAAACGAAATTATATAAAAAGTCACGTCTTCTGGACGAGTAACGTAGGTTCAGTCACACTGACGACAGTTTTTCTTTCCGTTTCGTTTTGTTTTCGTTAGGAGAGGGCAGTGTACCGCGTTAGGACGAAGTCTCGGTCAGCTATAGGTTGATTGAGAACATTTTTCAAATACCGGGATACGCTTCGGGATCTCCTCGAATTGGCAGCCACGAATTTCTTGGGGGATTGCCTGGAAGAGAACTCTGGCCAGTGAGCACTATCTTTTCTTTATTTTCTCTTCGCTTTGTTCGCGTGCAACCACTCATTGATGAACAACCAATCAATCAGGTAGACTGTCGAATCCTTAGCATACTTTGAATCTAGGATTACGTTTAGCATACTTGAACCTAGGATAGCTTGCAGTCTCTTCTCTCTGTCTACACTTAGGGATATCTCGACTCAGGCATGACCAAGCGACGACTCGCCAGCCACATTTGACCGCAGTCCTTAATCCACAAATTCCATAATTTTCGAGTTACCAAATCTTCAATTTCTAAATTCCTGAGCCTTCCACATCCTCGAACTTGAAATTTTCAGAAGGTGAAATTTGTAGGGATACTGACTGTTCGATGATGGTTAATTAGACTATCTGGTATTGGAGATAGTGTTGGCAGAGATGCAACTTGGTCATGCCTGTTTTACTTGCATACACACGTGTACATATCTGTCCCTTTATTTTCTTTTCTCTTTCCTTTCTAGTTGTTTCTGTTTGAAAGTCGGTCATGATCATGGGAGCACTCAGCAGGAGCATGATAACTTATAGAGACAGAGAGGGACACCTTGCGCGTTAGCCGGTTAGACGGAAGCTTGACAAAGAAAATGGGAAAGATAAAGAAAAGATACGTAGATCACTCGAGAGTGTCAGCTTTGCCAGGTCCATTGACCATGCGAGTTCACGTCTATCTACTTATCTACCAAAAGTCTTTATCGATTGACCCGTCACGTGCACCTATGTAGGTGATAGCGACGATATTTCTCTTGAACCTGATCTAACGACATTTTAATAAAACCGATACTTTTTCCAACGTTACGATCTCTTATTCCTTGTGTCAGAAACTTGACAACCGTTGCATGCGTATGCATCACACGAAACGTTTTCTGTTCGTCGATCATCGTCAACCTCGTTAGACCAACTGGACCCACTTGTTTCACTCTTTTCCTTTCTGTCGATTACGTCATCAGTGACTATGTTTCTCGCATTTCCATCGAAATCGTATCATCTTCTTCATACGGCATCGTTCTCCGCATCGATCCGAAGTACTCGTACTCGGACCATTTAGTTAAATCAGGATGAAACGGTAAAGCAAAACGCACGAGCAGACTGTTGTTTCCCTCTGTTCCCCATCGTCTTAATGACCCACTCCGACTTCTCGTATTCAGACCGTGTCTTTTGCAGAGAGCGTATTCACGCCCAAAGATATAGACCTCGAGGACGGGGAAATGGACGATGCCGAGCGGGAGCTGGAAGCCTTCAAAAGATTCTGCCTGCAGTCGGTGCCGCCGCCGCGGAAGGAGAAAGTCAATCTCAACATCAAGGACATCGTGCTGAAGAAGAAGTCATCCTCGTCGTCGTCGTCGTCGTCGTCATCCTCGGCGGCTACCGCCGT